CAATGTTGCTAACTAAAACAGACATGCCACTCAAAAACGAAACAAACAAGTTAAAGTTTCTTGTTACCAACAGGATACTGTTTGATGTTTATTGTACATACAATCCAGTACAAGTACAGGAGCACACTACATTCTTGTTTACTAAGATTCTTTCACTTCATTTAAAAAGGAAAGAATTGTTTTCCAGCCGCAAGTATTTTTCGAACACCGCCATTCCACGCATGTACGCTGAATGCAAAGTGAGAGTTGCAGAAAATATTCAGAATGCGCAGTGTTTTGCCACCACAAGCGATCTCTGGTCCAGCCGCACATCAGAGCCGTATTTGAGCTTAACTATCCACTACATGAGCAGGGAGCTACATAGTATTTTGAACAAGTTAATGTTTGCACAATACGTTTGCAATTGACATGTTTGCACTTTAAATATGTTTACGATTTTAATTTATGTTAAGTTACTTGAAAAACGAGAAAAACTGATTTTTGTAATTGTTTCTCTCAGGGCTTTTATCATCTCTGGTGTGAGTTTAAAATATAAGTGTGTTAGCACTGTGTAGATTATCCCTAATATTAATAAATGTTTATTTATTCAATGTTTCTCTTCTTTAATATGCAATTGAAGTTATGCTATTCATGGATAAAAAAATCGTGATAAAATCGAAATCGTGATAAAATATTGGAAAAATCGTGATATTCTATTTTTGCCATATCGCCCAGCCCTAGCGCGGATCCAATGTTTTTATCATTTTCTTAAATCCCACTCCTACTGTTCGCACGGGACACAAATCTTTAGCCAAGTGGTACGTCACTGCATCTGTCACGCTGTTCCATCGTCTGCTGTCTCTGTCGTAAGGAGTGAGTTTTGTGTGTGTTTATGTTAGCGTTTGCTGCCTGGAAGAAGCGCTAGCCGCTGCAGCCACAGGCTTTTTAGCTTTAGCTGCCAGCTGGCTCTCATTGTATTGTTTGGGATGCCTTCTTTTCAAGTGATTAAACAAGTTTGTGGTGTTGCCATCACTTGCCTTGGCGCTCTGCTTGCAAACTTTGCAAATGACGTTTCGCTGCTCTTTGTCATCTGGTGAAAAACCAAACCAGTTCCATATAACGGACGAGGCGTTCTTCTTCGGAACGAAAACCTCGTTGTCGCTCTCAGCCGCGGCCGAAGCCATGTTTGTTCACACACAGGTGAAAACAAGCGGGGCACTAATATATTACTATGACTCACTCTGATTGGTTAAGGGTCAAACAAAGGCGTGTCATTCGCCTGAGGTAAGTTCCCTTTTCATTCAGAGGCAGAATTTCAACAGCAGAGCTGTGAATCGTGGTAAAAAGGTCTCTCAAAAATGACAGACCGTCAGATGTGTAGATCATAAAACGGTCTAAAATCGTCATATCGCCCAGCCCTAGTTGAGGACCAACAAACTGTAAGACAGAGAGGAAATTATCTCTGTCGGGCCCCAAAACAATTTCTAATCGGAATCTGGCGCCCTTGAGCCTGCAAGGCTACAACGAAAGCTCCCCCCTCAGAAGATATGTGGAATGTGCCGTCGCTATGGCAACTCATCTCTGTCTCCCATCCCAGCCTGGGCGGGACTGCGGGAAGGCCGCTGAAACGTTCCAGGGTCACTGCAACCCTCCAACCTTCAATGCTCCTCCCCCTATCCATACTGAGGTGACATGCGCTGCTTAACGTGGCTGCAGGAACTGAAGTAGGGCTAGTCCCAACCCACCACCCCACCTAGTGGACACTTATGTTGTGTTGTCTGAAGTCTGTTGCATATCTGTCTGAGGTGTTTTTTTTTATGCAGAGCAAAGCTGCCCTCCCAGTGGAGGGTAACTCTGAAGTGCCTCTTTTTTCCCTCCACCTGAACCGATCCTCATGTAACCATCTTATCTCTATTAAGGTAGCGCGACTCAGGGTTGCGAATGACCACAGTCACCAATTCTTGTCATGTGTCTTGCCCATGTATGTCTGATCTCTGAATTGTGTGTACTGAAACTCTAATTTCCCTCTGGGATTAATAAAGTATCTTTGATTGATTTGATTTCTAAGGTTTGGATGTCTGCGAACATTACTGAATATTCTGATTGGTGTAAATAACACACAGTAGTATTAATAACAAGTCTAGATGTGGTTTGGTCTGAGGTATGAAACTCTGCCCTGGGCCAAAAGCCCTGCAGATAGATTTAGTTTCAATAAACACCAACAACAAATAAACGGCAGCTGGATTCCACTTTGTTCCTTAAATTGAGTCATGTAGTTTTGCAAGTTCTAGACGCTCACACGTTCAACAGTGTCTTTGCCAACTGATGGTTCTTTAGTAACTAGTGACATCAGTACAGGTCTGGTACTGAGCAGCATGGATGCATCAGAGGATTTTGCTGTAGTCGATGTGCAAAATGGATTAGAGACAGGACAGGATATATAGTCAAGCAAATATGATATAATACCATAAACATGTATAGATACTTTAATCATACACTCTCACCAGCCTGTAATGCTACCTTTTTCTCAAATTGCACAAGACTGATGCTTTTACATATAAAATATCCAAAATTTTCTACTGGGGGGCATGCCCCCAGACCCCTCAGAGTACTTTAATACTCATGGGGCCTGCCAGGTCTGACCAGCATCCTCCCCCACCATCAAAGCCAACTAACCACCAGGTAGTGGTTGACAGCCTCGCCACTCTCTTCACCTGAGTGTCCAAGACAAGTCGATCATCGTGCTGCGGCCTAAGGTATCCTGGTGCCAAGAGCACATATGGACTCCTTTATGCCTGAACGTGGTGTTCATTATGGACAATACATGACGAGCATAAACATCCAATAACAAAACACCGCTCAAATTCAGATGGGGGGGGGGGCTCTCCCCACCACACCTCTACAGGTCTCACTGTCATTGCCCACATGTGTGTTAAAGCCCCCCAGCAGAACGAGGGAGTCCTTGAAGGAGCAGTCTCCATCATCTCCTCCAAGGACTCCAAAAGGGGTGTGTAGTCTGAACTGTAGTTTGGTGCACATAAGCACAGACAGCAGTCAGGACCTGTCCGCAGGGGCGCCTCAAGAAAAATTTTATAGGGGTGGCCAGATGGGGCCAAAGAAACTTTTGGGGTGACACACAAAATTGGTCCTTGTGGTAATGCTGGGAGAATATTGCCTGTGGCGATGTGCTGCATTGCACCTTTATTCATTTTTATTAAAATAACAGCACGCATCCAAAACATTTAACTTAAATTTTACAAACACAAACATTTCAGAAATATACATTTCAGCTATTTAAAACTGTATCCATAATTTAATTTAAAAATGTATTTTCATAGGTTAATTCACCTGTTGCTGTGTTAAAAAAAACTATGGAGCTAAAAACTATTTTTAAATATTGAGCAGCATAAACATATGTATTTTTTATTCTGATCATTTCTTTACTCTTTAATTGCAATATTTTTATTTGTTTTACAATTCTGTCTTGAATAAACAAGATCCATATATGGTTTGACTGAACATTAATATGATTTGTTAACACTGGCTTTTCCTGGGGGGGGGGGGGGGGGGCAGCAATTTTCTAGGGGTGGCCACCCCTTGGGGGCGCCCTTGCCTGTCCCCCCACACGCAGGTGGAGGGAGGCTACCCTCTCTTTCATCAAGGTAAACCCCAGCGTACAGGCACCAAGATGTGGGCCAACTAGTATGCCCACCCCTGCCTGGCGCCTCTCAATGGGAGAGTGGTAGAGCCCCTCTTAAGGTAACTAGTTCCAGAGCCAGAACCATGCGTCACGGTGAGTCTGACTATCTAGTATGAACCTCTCAACCTCTCACACCAACTCAGGTTCCTTCCCCACCAGAGAGGTGACATTCCAAAATATGATAATCCAATCTCTTATATGATAAACAGAAACTGAAAGGATGCCACCAACACCGGTGATGTAATGCTTTGACAAAGGCGACAGCAAGATCTTAAACATGTGAGCAAAAAGGTAAAAACAAGCTCTAGTTACTCTGTATATAGGAAGAACCAAAAAAGGATTCAGATAAGGAACACAGCATTGTTTATACACTCACCTATCCCATCATGCAACGCGCTACAGCACCCGACACATCATCTGACAAAGACCGATAGGCATGCTAGTAAAAATCTGAACATAAAAATGTTAGAAAGTATAACATCAACAGTTTAGCGAGATATGTCCAGTATCTTGTTATAAGTACTCATCCATGCTCACAAAATTCATCATTTTGGAAATTTTAGAAATGCAACTGGGGCCGCACAAAATCACTCTGCGGGCCACAAATGGCCCCCGGCAGCACTTTGGACATGGCAGCCCAACAGGAAAACACAAGAATTATGAATAACATTTTTACATAATTATGTGTTAGATTTTTGTTATGATAGAACACAGAGAGCGGACTGAAAAAAAGGAGGATTTAATGAAACCAAAACCATCAAAATTCAATAAATTTTTTGCACTAATTGTTCTAATACCGTGCAGTTTTAAGAAAGAAACGATCTTTTAAATAGCGCCTTTCAAGATAAAAATCAGGAGGCACTTCACAAAAACAAAAAATTAAAGTATATTAAAGATTTCAAAAATGATTAAAAATATGGTTAAATGAGAAAAAATTAAAACTGTGATAAAAAAATATGTAAGGAAAGGGACAGAGAAAGTGAGCAGGTGACAGGGAAATAATAAAATAGACAGGGGTGGATCTGCAACCACTGCAAAGCACAATCAGCTTTTTGGCCAGCGTGAAACTCACAAGTCTCTTTTTAATTCACATTCGATCAAAATATCTAACAGCTGTTTTTTATTAATTTAAAATGCTGACAAACAACTGGAATAAAGGAAAAGTTGAGTTTTCAGGTAAAAACAACAATACATCAATGACAGAAAGCTACCGTAATAAAGAATGTAAGAATACCCAGAAATGCTGCAGAGCTGTTTGCTACGTGAAACAGGAAGTGTGCGTGTATGTTATGATGTTTCATTACATAAGACTCTCACTTACTGTGGACGGAGCAGTCCGACAGCCCTGCTTATGTGCGCCGCCATGTTTTCTGGTGTCGAGTCAAAGACAAAGCAGCGATTGGTTTCTTTAGTAGGTCCCACGTGGTTCTGTAGCTCCATGATTGGACAGAGCAAAATATGGGCGGGCTTTCAGTGTGGCGAAGCACGTGGTAAAGCAAACAGCAGACTGGCAGGAGGAAGACGTTCTCTTGTGTTCATAAAAAATAAATAAAGTAATTTTACATGTAAAAAGTTGAGCTTTTATGATTTCACCAGCTTAGATCTGCTAGCTGTTACAGAATAAGTAATTAAAACAACGGAGACAAACCATGACAATAAAAGCTGAGAGGTTTGTTCACTAGTCTACTGATCCTTGTCTCTCATAGCAGTGGTGATTACCACCATCAGCCATGATTTACCATGACTTTACTGTGATTAAGTCTGCAGGGGATTAGCTCCAAATGTCAGCTCCTAAGTACATGTCAGAGATGTGCTTTTAGAATAAATGTGCCTTCATCTGACTATCGCGTCGTGAACCTAGTGCAACACATTTCTCACATTCGCAAAAACATTTATAAAGCTTTTTTCATACCAGGAAGTGTTTTCCATGTAAAAGCTTATGAACATTTAATAGTATGCAGATAGCTCTTTGAATGACCTCAGTTTGGAGAAACACAGATTCCTTCTCAACAAGCTAAAAAGAGCTGTGTTGTTACCTAAATTAGCTGAATGCCTTTTAACATGTTAGCTGAAAAATGCATTGTCTGCTAGAATACTAAGTGAAATGTGAATCTGACAGCTGTGTTATTGTTTAAAATAAGGTAAATACTCATTTGCGTGAATGATCATAAAGATTTGACATTAGAACTGTTTAGAGCACAAATCCACTTAAAGGGATCCTATGCAACTTAGTCATATTTTTATATAATTTTCTTGAGCCAGTATCTGCTAAAATTACCTTTACAGGGTTAATGAAATGCCACTCAGACACGATTGTGTCTGAGTGGCCACTGCCACTGTCCGACCACTTATAAACGACCTAAGGGTCCCTGATGCCACCTCGACTTTGCGGCAATTTAACTGCACTGGTTTGTAAAAACGGCCAAGCTGACATGGTGGAGCTGGAGTCGGCTTCCAGCACATTTCCTGCAGGTTTTATATCATGGTATTATTTTTATTGACATTCACAGAAACTCATTCCAAAATATATTGTAGAATTGGCACACAAAAAATATATGTATATTTACATATATTATATATACATGTGTGTGTGTGTGTGTGTGTGTGTGTGTGTGTGTGTGTGTGTGTGTGTGTGTGTGTGTGTGTGTGTGTGTGTGTGTGTGTGTGTGTGTGTGTGTGTGTAACATAATGATTAACTGATGCACATACCAGCCAAACTTTTGTAGCAAAATTTCTTTATACAACAATGTAAGAAAACACCTGTTAAAAATGTTGATATCTTTAATATTAAAACATTAAAATCCACCAAAAAAGTCTTAAAATGACCAATTTTACAGCGTAATGTCATTTCTGACACCGACTCCAAGTGCCTATTTGGGTGTGCATGTTTGTCTTCTTTTGTCAAGTTGAAAATTAAAATACAAAAGTGAATAAAAATCTGGATTATCCCTCACACGTCACAAGGATTTTATTTTATTCCAAATAACTGATCATTTCCTTTATTGTGAAAGTAAATTACATTTACAGATCATCCAACGGCACTACACCAATTTCAATCAGAGTTTTGATTTTCTTTGACAGTAAACCTAAAAACAGATTTCCTGTTAGAAATCTTTCAGTCTCTGAGATTTCACATCTAAAAAAGTGAGAATATGTGCAAATCCATTCTTGCACGAGATGGAAAGAGAAGTAGGAAAATTCCATCCATGGGTTACTTGGAAACTACTTCATTTCCTCCCCCTTCTGTTCATCGAACATGATTGTTGTCTCCTAATCCAGTTTTGATAGCATTTGGCACACTTTCTTTGGATCACAGCAAGATGCTCAACTTCCATTCTGGTCTCCCCTAGGAACTCCTGAGCTCAAGAAAGCAGCCGCCACCAGGTCGCGCCGGAGCGGAGGGGGCGGGGGGCTTCTCTGGTCCTCGTCAAGCACAGAAAATTATTTTTTGATTCAAGTCAACACACACTCTCACACACACAAACCTGTTCACAGACTCGTCAGTCTACCAGTTAATTTGATATATATGCTTAATGCATGTTTATTCTTGTCATTCTGTTATGTTGGATGTTGCATTCGCCTAATGACCCACCCAGAATATAAAATATTATGTCAAAAGAGAAGGCTTTTTGCCTTGGTCCTCCGTGCCCCCCACCCCAATCCAAATGTACAATGCATCACCAGCCCTTGATGCTTCAGAAGTCTGGGTTCATTAAAATCTTGAACAAGTGCCAAAGCTGTAGTCGGAGATAAAAAGAATATGAAAGGATAACAAAATTTATGGATGGCAAGACACCACCTCACCCTGGCATTTATAATAAACAAATGGTTTCTGTTTCCAATTTAAATTTCTCATTATACTGTGACTTTTGGAAAATGTGTTTTGATTTACCAACATTTTATCAGAAAAAAACTGTATAATTGATTGGATTTACATGGCTCTGATTTTGATGCTGATCGCCTGCCTTCCCCGGCAGCTCCCTCTCACCCCAACCCCGTCACCCCTCCAAAAATAAAAAATAAAAATAAAAAGGGATGATCCGAACAGCTCCTGAGGCACATTAAGATCACATAAAACAAACCTACATATCAAACAGGGCTTTTTTTTTTAATTTCCTGATAAAATAATTGGTTTAAACCAGAGCAGAAGCCAGTTCAGCCCTTTGAAAGGAACCTCTGTGAGGGCACATAAAAAGTGGTGAGATAGACTTCACAACCCAAGTGAGATGGACATCAATGTGGTGTGCCAGCAATGGCTATATTAACCCATGGCTAAATCCCATCACACAAATGTCAGTGTATCCGTTATGAAACCATGACATTTAGATCCAAGGTCTCCATTGTGGTTTTAGAGGGAGCTGATGTTTGTCCATTCTTTGCATCCATCAAATAGCCTCACAATACCCTAACATAAAAGATCAAAGATCCCATGCCTCTAAATGTCTCATCTGATTGCATAAGACAGTTAATGTTCTTACAGTGTCACAAATATTTAGATTTTAATAGCTATTAGACAAATATGACATTATCATATTGACCTATTGATTTGATATTTTACTTAATGTTGAAAATGATAATAAATGAGAGGATATTGGTTATTAACAATAGAACAGTTTTGTGAACAGAGAGGAAAATGGGTTGTGTTGGAGGGGGGCATTGACACCATTTTCTAATTTACATAAAAAACAAACATTTTTTTTACAAGTTTTATAAGATTTTTACAGTTTGTGCTTACAAGCATTTAAAATAACCTCTTTGATCCAGGAAAAATATATTTATTTTTGAAATTATGTTATTTTCTAAATTTAACCTGACAGCTGAATTTATATTTAGTGTGATTTTAGAGAAAAACAAACATGTGTAACTATGACAGATTTGCTGAACAAATGGGAACAAAACAAAACAAAAAAAAAAAACGTTTAAAATTGTGAATCTTCCTTAAAAAAGGGAAGAAAATCAAATTATTTTTAACCGAAAGTCTTGATAAAGTGTCTCTAAATAATAACAAACTTAAAAGAGAATAAAGATGCAAGGAGCCAATATCCTCATATGTGGACACAAGGTCTTAGGAGGTAAAAGCAAACAAGCAAAAATTAAATAAATCAAAACAGACTAAACAAAAACATTAAAAAAGGTTCAATAAAATAAATAAAATTAGACGGTACAAAATTATTTATATTTTTGCTTTTTTTTCAATGGAAAAGTTAAAGCCTGAGTCCAGCAGCCACAGCATTTCTTTGACATGACGATATTTGACTAACTCCTCCTAATTTACCCCCGACAACCTTTCCAAACATCACTTTTATCACCACAGCTCACCAGGATGAGCCCAGTCTGACACATCACGACCACTCATGAGTCATGTGTAATGAGTAGCAAAGACCACGCTGGAGAACTGGACAGTGTGTCATAAAGCTCTCATGTTAAAGAGCCAACACCTAAAAGCCACTTGCCTGGGAATCACGAGATGTTTAATTATGGCTCCTTTCCATTAGACTGGATCACCCCCCCCCCTCCCCCCAGGCACCAGTATGGGGTCAGGCGGGTGGGTGGAGCTGGGTACAGACAGTAGAGAGGGATAAAACTCTATCATTACTTCTCATTTTCGGTCTCTCTCTACTAAAACGGCGATCCGAATGGAGAATTACAAATGATATCATGACGATTTTTCATGCTCTTTGGACCAGTGATGTTTTACCGACTCATTTGCTATGATACCTTGTTACGGATCCAGCTGTGAATCAGGGACGATTCATGGGGCTAGAAGCCTACCCCCCGCTGAGCCTGGCCAATGACCTGGAAGGCAATAGGGGATGCCAGTGCCTGCAGCATGTGCTGCACTGACAAAGCAGCAGGGCACCGTCAAAAACCCTCTCATACAAACTTTGCAGATCACTCTGCTTTTAACAGATGAGTAAGCACTGGTGCTGACTTTTTTTTTCTTCTTTCGTCTGCCCTCACATGAAATTCATGGATTTCCCTTTGCAAGACTGTGGCTGTGGTTGATGCACAGCTAAACTCGTGCCCACAAGGGGAATGGTGTTGTGGTGGATCAGAGGTGGACGGGTGCAGATAGCAAGTGGCAGGGTCACTGCACAGGTTAAGCAACAATTAAGCCGAATGCCCATAAATATGAAGTGGAGTGTGGTTGGAAAAGACCAGCGTGCCAGCTAAAGAGGCCCAGCAATGCAGGTTAAACTTTGGCCTTTTGGATGAAACTGCAAAAACTCATTCAGCAAGCTACAAACACTAGGATTAAGGTTATTGAACATTGTCTCTTAAACTGTCTCGACTTTTGTTAAATCAAACGAGACAAAGAAACTGCTCAGTCCATTCATTAATTTTGTAGTCATCAACGGGATTTCATCGGAGTTAAGGCTGTTTTTGGTTTCCAGATGAGAGCCCTCACGCAATCCAGGACCCTTGATGACTTCTGCATTACTAAAATGATGCTG